TTTTTTCTACCCTATTTTCTGCTCAGCCTTCTGATCCTTTTCCTTCACTTCTCTCTTTGTGACCTTTCTTCCTGACTTTTTTTTACCCATCTAGTCAATTGTTCTTTGTCCACATGTAGTTTTCCTGGTTTTCTTATTTGTAAGCATGCTTTTCTTTGTACTTTGCTGAAGAAAACTTAAGTTACTGTCTCTTTTCACTTAAGTGATTTCTATCTAAAATTCTATGGAGGGAGTTGCTCTCTCTCAGTTGATTTCTTATCTACCTTCCCATGATTTCAATTATTCTTTTCAATCAGAGCTTCAGACTGGCCATTCAATGGAGCTGATGCTTTCTCAGGCATTGAATGATATCTTTGTTGCCTTACATTGGTGCAGGTGATGCTGGATTTTTCAGCAGCATTTGATACCTTGCATCACATGTTACTTTCAGCATCCTGGGTATTATTGACATTTCTTGGTTGACTTCCTTCTTGCCAGATTGGCTTTTTCCCTGGCACTGTTTCAAATCCTTTTCCTCTTACTGTTGGGGTGACCCATGGATTTGTCTTTGGACCTCTTCTTCTTTCTCTTATACACTTCCTTTGAGTTGTCTTATCTCTGATTTTGGTTTTCAACATCATATTTATGCTGATGGAATCCTTTGAACACCTTGCTTTACCAATACTTTGATCAGCTCGCAGAGGAGGGAATGGGCATCTATGCAAAATTGCCTATTAGCAAATTCCGTATGGGAGTGTTCCCACTGTCTCATGCTGAATATGGATAAAACTGAAGTCTTTATTTTTCATCCTGATCACACTTCTTCTTGTTGTTCTTTTATACCTCCTCTCTGTCTTTAAGGCTCCCAGCTGGTCCTGGTGCAAGCTGCTAGGGACCTGGAATTCCTGGTGGGTGACAGCATGTGCTGTGCTCCTTTATTGAAAGTACAATGTGAATTTGTAATTTCCAGCCAATGAATGTCTGACAGATTTGCAAGTTCCTGTCTCCAGTGACAGTACATATTCTGGTCTGAGCTTTGGTTGTGTTGCACTTGGACTATTGTAACAGTCTTTAAGCAGGACTTCCTCTGTCCTCCTCTTCTCCTTTGATTCTGGTACAGATGAATATTGTTAGGACTGTTTTTAATCTTACTTAATTTTCCCATATTACCTGCCATCATGAAGTCCTGCATTGGCTTCCATTGAAGGACGGAGCTGATTAGAAGATTTTGGTCCTAGTTTTAAGGCTTTATGACTGCATTATTCGGTATACCTTTCCCCTTTTTTGTCCTGGAGTGTTCTGGGTTGAGTCCCCAGATCCATGGGTCAGGCCATCCTGACCCTTTTTACCTCATGAATTGTAGTGTTCCATTCCCATGCATACTAGGACCTCATTCTTCCTCTGCGGCATCCTCTCCTGCTACCACTGTGGTTAGAAAGTTTGAAAGAGTTTAAGAGGGGTCTGAATTTTTTTTTTGCTTGCGTAAGGAGATTGGTGATGGTTTGAATGTTCATATGGGTTTTATGTAAGTTTTATTATATGGGCTTTATGCAAGATTGATTGTTAATATTGTATATTGGATACGTATTTTTTAGCTTTATTTCTGTAGCTATATTGTATATTAAGGTTGCCAATATAATTAATACATTTAAGTATTTTGAATTGTTGCTTTATTGTAAAGTGCTATTTAAATACATACTTTTCTTTGCAATACTTGAAGACCATATGGCAGAGCCATCCTGCACTCCAGTTGTAGGAGAAATCCACCACAGAGCTGTCACAAAGGGGTTAGGTTTAGGGTTAGGGTACCTGTAGTTCACATCTGGTGTTGCTTGTACTATTTGTTCACATATATTTGCCCAGTTAGGACAATATTCTCCAAGCTGGTACTATCCCATCATCCTTGACTATTGGCCATGCTGACTGGGAAGTTGTACTGCTCTATTTCATGGTCAGGGGTGGTGCCAAGTTGCAAGCATTTGCACCTGGGTCTCCTAGAGAGCACAAAGGAAAGAAACATGAAGACGTCCTATGAACAAACACAGGCCTGTTGTGCTGTCTTCAATTCCCTGGTTCATGGCTACATGCAACAGATTTAGTAATAAGGGTCACTTGAGAGAAATTTAGGCTAATCTGTTAGGAATGTTTGGGTCTAAAGGCTTCTGTCTCAGTCAAGGCGTTTGGTACTCTTCCAATTTTCTGATTCAATGGTTCTCATAGAGCTGAGCATGACACTGCTTTGTAATAAGCTTTTGACTCATCTAGTCTTCTGTTTTTCACTTACAGTTTCTCATTTTCTGGCAGTTTTGCCCTTAGTACGAAGCTATTTTAATAAGACAGGTGTAGCACACTGCTTTTCAGTTCCTAGCAAGTGTGTTCTACAGGAGCCCTAGTCAGATGAGATATTTGTGAACATGAATATTTGGATGGGGACAAGCAGGAATGGAAATGTGCCCTCTGATGCTGTCTCCCACTAGTTCATTCACCCCACAGCCCACGGAATTTCCAGAAACCCCAGTGAACTGGCCTGCTGTTATGCATGGAGCACCCCCGCCACCTTCTTCACTTCCTTAACTGAAGTTTTAGTATATTAATGGTTGGATGTCGCCGGGGGGAATTGTTTTATGCTACTTATTTATTGTAAGCCGTCCTGAGACATTCTGTAGGAAACAGGATAGAAAAGCTTTTAATAAGTAAATAAATTCTATATTGCCCCATATCTGACGCTTTCTGCGTGATTTGCAATGAAATGTACATGCTTACAGAGATTCTTGATTTTTTCTTATTTTTACACTTAGACACAAAGTCCTTTTCTGGAACTAAGTGTTGTTTCTTTCCAAATAAATGTGTTCCAGGGAAGTAGAATAAATTATCTGCAGTCACAACAGTGTTTTAAATTAGGGTGTAGTCCTATGCCTATGTAGCCAAAATCTTTCAACTCCCAGCATGCCCTAAAGTGGGCTCATTCTGTGAACTGGAAGGTTATAGTGTTGTGCACTAAGGGTACAGTCCTGTAGGCTGCACCTTCAGTGATCTTCCTTCCTGAAGTTCAGAGGCTTATGGTCATCCTGTGCAAAGCAGAAGTGGCTGATGTGATCTTCATCTTCCTGTTCCCTGCATATTTTTTTTTAGGTGAGCATTTTATGGGGGGGGGCAGGTGGATAGGTACCATCTAGAGAAGGCATTTTGAAGGAGGCTGCTAGAGGCTTAGGATGGCTCATATCATGGCATCTACATTCTCCTCCTTCCCTGCCCCCTGAAATACTTCCTTTCAACCACAACAGTTCTTTCTACATCTACTGCAAGAGGAAGAGTAGGGAGCAGATTCCCTCCCAAGGTCATGATGCTGTCTCTGACTTCAAAGACAGAAATCTGAACTATCTTATGGTCCTTCAGACAGTGACTGGCTTCACACAACATGACAATGCTGAGTGTGGGTTGTTGAACTTTGGGCAGTTGTTAAAAGGTGGGTTATTATGTTGTCTGAATCCAACTTCAGTAACAAGTCATGGCTTGTTAACCATGAATAATCCACACAGAGAAGCCAGTTCCAGAAGGCAGACCAACTGAGTAGTTACCACCATCTGTAATCACCTGACTAACTTAGCTCTTTCAGGAAACCAAAGTACATGCTACATGGTAAATCTGCAACTAGATTTCTTGCCATTTTTGCTCTTACTTCAGATCAGTCATGTTGGGGTATGTGAGGGAACTGGGCTGAGTGTTGTGACTCAAATGGAAGGCTGAGGTTCAAATATTCTAAGCAACCTTAAGCCACAATGCTTGGGGTAACAGCTTAGCCCTTTTCTCCAGTATTGTTTCCTCATCTAAATCAGCTTCCTGGAAGCAAGGGTTCGCCCCTCTGATGGACAATATAGACAGAATTCTGACTTTCCTTATCATAGCTGAGTGTGGCATTGAGAGGCTAATTCAGATTGGAAGAATGGCACTGGAGAAGGAGGATAAATACCCTCTTAACTGGCAATATTTCCTTGATCAGATTTGGAGCCACATCCCTGATAGCTAACTGAAAATAAAAGTGGAAAAAATGGGGAGATCCAATAGAATTTTTTCCTTTCTAATTCATCACTCAGCCCTGATTTTTGCACCAAGATACTTAAATGCTTTGAATTGGTTTATGTAAATGTGGCAGTGTCTTGGTATGGAATGTTCACTGTTTTGGAATGCCTGAAATATTGGTGTACAATAGGGTGGAAAGCATAAGAGGGTAGAACATAGTCTTAACTGGATGCATTAATTCAGGTATGGGCAACCTGTGGCCCTCCAAGTGCTGTGGCATCAACTCAGATATCACCATTGACTCAGCTGGGTGTGATGGGAATTGTGTCTTCCAAGATGCCACCCTCCCCATAAAAGAAGCACAATTCGAATAACATGTTAGTGACCGCTGCAGGCCTTAGTATCTGCCTTTCTGTAACCATTGTCAGGATTATGTGGAAAGTTTGTAGAATCTGTACAATAACGAGACATTTTCCAAATTCCACATATGCTGGTTATGTGCATACTTCTTCCTTCTCAGTCTTGTGGAATCCAGTGAAGGGCTCTGCTGTATTTTGTCATGGGTACTGGAATTTTAGATGATTCAAGAGCTTGACTATTGATATGGCAGAGGGGTGTTGTTGGAAAAAATGTAGCGTTTTGCTCCAGTTGAGCTGCTCCTCATTTGTCAACAGTTGAAGGACTTTCATATTTTCCAGACTTGCCTGAGCTTGGTGTGATTCCACCACATCACACCTGTGCAAGGACGGCAGAAGTTCGGTACAAATGGGTAATTTTCTTTGAAGCCACATCAGAAATTCATGTGCTCGTGTTACGCATGGTTCCTGCTCGGCACATAAACTTTCCACTCCTCTGAAGCCTCCCACTGCTCAGTAATGACGGCTGTTTAGTTCTTGCTGTGGTTGTCTCAAGAGAGGCTAGTCAGGAAATAATGAGAGATGCAGTCCTGTGATACTGTTTACATGTTTGCTGTATTTTTTTTCTTTATATTTTAACCTCAGAAACTGAAAAGGCAATCGGCAACCTACAAAGCAGACAAAATCTACCCAACAGCTACATCTGAGATGCCAGAAAATATCAGCAAGAACCGGTACAAGGATATCTTGCCATGTAAGTTAGGAATAATAATTAACGAGCACGAACACACTCTCACAATAGGCAAAGATATGGGCCCTACTCCATACGCATCAAGACACTGGTACAATCGATACATGCTTTCTGATCTATGTCTGAAAACCTCCATGCATCATTTTCAGCACATATGGGAAATCTATGGCCTGCAGGCCACAGGTGGTCCCTGGATGCCTCAGGATGTTCCCCTACAGGTGTCCTAATCCTTCTCCCTACTGCAACAGGATCCTGCCATGAAGATTTGGTTCCCCACAGCCCACAAAACAGGCAGTTGCCAGGCCGGGGGGGTGCACTTGTTATGGGGAGGAACGGTGTGCAAGAAGAGCCACCCTGAACACCACTTCCTCCTTGAATTTTGTGTGTGTGTGAAGGCAAGTCCATGGGAGGAAGTGAGCAGGTGTTCGACTGGGTGTGAGTGTGAGTGTGTAGAAGTCTGTGTATGTGTGGGGAGGCAAGGGGGATGCTGACCCTGGCTGCACCCATGGCCAGCTGAGACTGCCCACTGGTCATGTCCACGGGTACGTATTCCCTGAGCCATTGGCCACTGTCATGTGCTACGCCTGAGGGCCAGAAGTTACCTACCCTTGTTTCAGGGTTTTTTCCAGATACTAAGAAAAGCACCCTTACCTTTATATGGATAGGAATACCCAGGAATAAGCAATAACTATGAAAGTGGTTCCTGCAGCAAAAAAACAGTGGTGTTGTCATGGGATGGGGTACTTGTGAGACTCTTGTAATCATAATCCAATCCTGCTTTGATGGAAGCACTAACCCAAGTGAAATTGTCTTTTTCCTAGCCATTAAGAGAACAATCCGATGGTCCCTGGACCACAGGATAGCTTAGAAGGGGGAGCAGAAAGGCTGACTCCCCCCCCCAGACACCTGGCAGCACAGCCACTCTGGCTGCCTCTCCAAGGTGGACGGGGAGAAGAGGATGGTGGGTAAATTACACCCTATAATTCCTCTCCTGAGAGAACTTTTGCCGATTTGTCATTTCAAGAGGGAACCAAAGACACATCGTAGGCTCAAAACTAGTTTTTATTAACAGGATTCAGCTGAAGGGTGAAACCGTTGCCTTAAAAACGAAGCGGTCTCCACACCTTTATGTCACAGTTCAATAAACTTTTCTGCCTTGGCCAGCAGCTCAGTTACCACCCTTTAGTTGTAAACCTATGCAGAGCGGTCAGGCGGTCAAGTCTTCCTGATATTATAGTCAGTAAGTAGTGTACTTCAGCCCACCTAGTCATTTTACATGTTGCATATGGCTTGTGCTTACTTTATCCTGATAATTGCTAGGCCACATTTTATCGAACAAGGAGACCATGAAAGATGAGAAGAGTAATCAAACCTCTTCTCCCTCTCGAGGCAACTTTGCTAGATGTGTTGAAAACAGTATAGAATGGATGAGAGCTGATGGCAGCTGCTTCCGGTGTTCCTACCTGGCAGGGTGGAGGAATCTCTGAACCCCCCAGACTGGGGGGCACCGAAGCACCAAGGGCATAGGACTGCACCCTATTTTTTTTTCCTTTTGAGTTAAGAACAAGTAAAAAGCTACTAATGATCACTGTGTCTGATCCATAACAACTGAGTCATTTTAACATGTTCCTACCACAAGAAGCAATAACATCTATGCACACGTATGGTTCCATGAGTCATATTCACCTTCAGAGAGCTTTTTCAAACTATATTTTTATTGGTCTTTGACAAGTGCACTGGTTTGCACTTACGGCTGTCCAATAAGTGTAGTCTTGCCTGGTCCATTTCCTTATCAGCTACAGCTGCTAAAGTGAGGACAAGGTGACAGTGATTTGGGAATATAAGACACAGATCAGTGCTGTTTGCTGTTTATTATTGCAGTTGTACAACATTACATTTTAAAAAGTCCATGCTGCTTGCTGAACAGTGTGTCTCTATCTGGTCCTCTTCTCAAGGAAGCAAACTATATTTGCACCCATGGTATCCATGGGGCCGTTCAGCACACTTATTGTAGGAGTTTTTGCTTTCAGAGAGAGTAAGGGAAAAAATGCATGTGCTTTGGAGCTGCTCAGTTGACAGCAAGACGCAAACACAGCATACGCAACAGGGCCCGGCCTTTCCCAATAAAGGATGGGGTCCCATGAAAGGCATTAATCCATATACTAGTGTTCAGCTGTAGAATTCTGGCCTATTTTCTTCTCAGCTACAGCTGCTAAAGTGAGGACAAGATGACAGTGCGTTTAAGCTAATTTGCACACCATTACCAGAGTCCAAGTACCTAGATGTCAGGTGAAAGGCACCAGAAAAGAAGAAAAAGCAGCAAAAAAGGTGCACCAAAAGATGTGAAGGGGACAATATCTCTCCCTTGATTATGTAATCATCTTGATTTGAAGTATTGAACTGATAGTTCTATGTTTCCTTCACATTCTGAACACTTCCGCAAGTCTCCAGCTCCTCCAAAAAGTGGAGAATTTAACTCTCACTTTTCACAGCATTTTTGGAGCACTTACTGATGTAGTTACTGAAATTCTCTGCCAGTTCTTTTAAAAAACAGAGGTAAAGGCTGGAAGATAAATGGAAAGGAAACGTGTACACCTGTAGTGACAGATCAATTCCTTTTGTGAATCTTTGTTGGCGCAGTGTAGAAGAAGCTAAGCTGTCATTAAGAATAATGAGATTTTAGTGTCACTGTTTTTTTCTGCTTCTAGAGAGGCCAGAAAGTAAGATGGGGAGGCACACTGCATGTCCCCTAATGTGCTAACATATGCATTCCTAACCAAATGCGTGGGATGCCTATGCAGCTGGTTTGCTTGGACATAACTTCAGAGAACATCCATTGTGATCCATAAGAACATAAGAAAAGCCATGCTGGATCAGACCAAAGGTCCATCTAGTTGGGCACTCTGTCTGCTTGGTGGAAAACCAGCTTCCACAGGATTCCTCAAGCAGGAGGGACCTGAGACCTCTGCCTGCCCGAGCACCTCAGCAAGTGGTGTATGTAGGCATGCCACCTCTGGTAAAGGAGTTAGCACATAGCTAACAAGGCTAGTAGCCACTGATAGCCTCCTCTTCCTCCATGAATCTGTTCAATCCCCTTCGAAACGCATCCCAATTGGTGGCCATCACCACTGGCAGCATATCCCATAGTCTATCTATGCACTGTGAAGAACTTCCTTTTCTCTGTCTTAAACCTCCTACCAATCAGCTTCATGGCATGATCCTGGGTCCTAGTGTTAAGGGACTGGGAGAAAAACGTGCCCCCTCCACTTTATCCACACCATGAATTACTTTGAACTGCTCTATCATGTCTCCCTTTACTTGCCTCTTTTCTAAGCCAAATAGTCTCAGTTGTTGTAGCCACTCTTAGGGCAATTGCTCCAGACTCTTGATAATTATTGTTGTCATTCTCTGTACCTTAAACTTTATGCCTCTATGAAGCATTCATAATATAGTGCATTTTACAGTTCTTTTTTGTTTTTGCTCCTTTTAGATGATCACAGCAGAGTGAAGCTCTCCCTTATTACATCAGATAAAGACTCGCATTATATCAATGCCAATTTTATCAAGGTAGTACATTTTGGATATGACATTCTATTGCCTGCATATAATTCTCATTGACTTAAAGCTCGACTGAGTGGAAAACATAAACACAAACTATTATTTTGGAATATACTATGACAATAACTGGGTCATTTCAGGATATTAAAAGGAAAAAGTAAGGGAATCTAAGGATTGAGGAAGACATCTCTGAAAGTTAGGTGTACAAGGGGGGACCCAAAAAACCCAGGAATTTATTTAAAAAATTTGTGTATTTATTTTTACATGTTCAGACTTCAGTCACCTTCAAAGTACTCTCCATTTGATGCAATACACCTATCGAGACATTTTTTCCACTGCTCAAAATGGGTTTTGAACTTGTCAATTTTGATGCCTTTTAGTGCTTCTGCCGTTTTTTGTTTCACTTCTTCCGCATCTGCAAAATGTTTCCCTTTGAGGACTTTTTTCTTCCGGGGAAACAAAGGACAGTCACACAGGGTGAGGTCGGGTGAATAAGGAAGGTGGGGCACAAGCGTCCTGCCATTTTTGGTCAAAAACATTCAGCTGAGAAAAAATCACTCCTGCACGTTGTTCCTGTAAGTCAGCCACCACAAAATAGGCAAATGCTTTGAAAGAGTCTCCAAAACAAACTCACTGAAGCTGAATGCAGCCTCTCACGTCAACCCAGCTGGGTACAGTGATGCAGATGGGTTCTTGGAACACTCACCTAGTGAGGGAAGCCTGTACTACAAGGGGTCCACCCTCCAGAGGATAATTCCTGGGGGGAAGTTGGGGGGGAGTCATTGGCTAACAGATTGGAAAGAATATTATCTATATATGAATTGGCACTGCATTGCGGAGCTTTTCTAACATTGCATCGATATCCTGCCATTTTTCCTGTGGCAAAGAAATCAAGGCACCTTACATAGCTCTATGTTATCCTCATAACAACAGCCCTGTGAGGTAGGTTGGGCTGAGAGTCTGTGCTTGGCCCAGTCATCCGGTGAGCTTTATGTCCGAGTGAGGACTAGAATCCAGATCTCCAATCCAGCACTCTAAGTAGCATGGCATACTGGCTCTCTTCTGCTTTCTGTGTGTCAAGAATATGACTCCAGGTGCACAGAACCATACATTTGCTGTATGGTTGGGAAAATATGAAGGGATGGTCAGCTATGAAGGCTTTCAATTCATCATCACAACTCTGTAGGCATGGAAGGTGTTGGCCTGGATCCATCGGTAAGGGACCTCAGGAAGGGGATGCATCAAGAGTCAGCCAAGGGTGGGCTGCCAATCCTACCATGCCCCAGGCAGTCGGAAGGGGCTCACTTGAACAGTCAGTAGCATGAGGTGAGCAGCTGACTCCTTCCTCCCCACTGAGGCTCCTGGTGTGCAGACCAGCGTGGAGAGAGGGGATAGCAGGTGGATTGCTCAGTCGATGGATCCAAGTGGTGGTCATTATTCAAGCCAAGCAAGGCTGTTTCTGCCTTGTTCCCTCCTGTCTTCCTTGCCCTTCCATCAGCAACATGCTAACTAGCATACGCAAAGCCCCTTTGTTCCTCCAGGAGGCCCTTGGACTATGCTGCTGAAGAGCACCACCCTGGGGCTGGTGAAGTTACTGTCCTTGACTGGTTTCTGTGCAGATAGGAATTTAAAAAATAATAATCTTTGACAGGCAAAGAGAAGAAGAAAGTCTTCTCTCTACCTCTTGTTGGCCAGTGTAAGCCAGCAGGGCTTTGGAAGTGGCAGATGACCCACTTAGTTTCTTCTTGGTCATGTCAGATTGCTCTCTAGGTTAACTGGATTCCCCTGTCTTCTCAGAGCAGAACCATGCTGGGAAAGTTCTCTCTTCTTGTAGTTCTCTTAGACATTTAACAGCATGGGGTCACAGTCTCCTCCTCTTGCAGCCCTTCTGAAATTACTGAGGCAATTCATTTTATGATATCATGGGAAAATGTAAAATATTTCAGAATGGTCAGCAGCTTGATACTTTTTAGTAAGTTATGCAAGCTTGTATTTTATTCACTTCCTTTTTAGGGTGTATATGAGCCAAAGACCTACATAGCTACCCAGGGTCCACTTTCGACAACAGTTGTGGACTTCTGGAGGATGGTTTGGGAATATAAAATCCTGGTAAGCCACAGATCAGTGCTGTTTGCTGTTTATTATTGCAGTTGTACAATAATACATTTTAAAAGTCCATGCTGCTTGCTGAATAGTGTCTCTATCTTATCCTCTTCTCAAGGAAGCAAACTATTTATATTTGCACCCATGGTTTCCATGGGGCCATTCAGCACACTTATTGTAAGAGTGTTTGCTTTCAGAGAGAGCAAAGGAGAGAGTGCATGTTGTTCGGAGCTGCTCAATTGACAGCAAGACGCAAACACAGCATACACAATAGGGTCCAGCTTTTCCCAATAAAGGATGGGGTTCCATGAAAGGCAGTAAGTCCTATACTGGTATTTAGCTGTAGAGTTCTGTGAATGATTGCAAAAGCCTCTACACATAGTCGTCATCATCTGAAAATGGGAGGAAAAAACAATCCATCACTGAGACTGGTTTGCACATAATAATAGGCCATGGTGTGGTTTGCTAAAATCTGGCTTGTTGTTGATTAGGTTTGCATGACATGAAAACATATCAAGACTTGCTGTGTCATCTGCATGCTTGCTTGCTTGCTTGACCACTTTGAAGGGATTGTCTATACCTGTCAAAAAGGGGATCTCAAAGGGAAAAGAAAAAGAAAAATGTGATATAGGGAGGAGAGAGATGGCTTAGTCCTTCCATGGCATCCTCTGATATATTCATGAGGGACTGAAGTGGAAGGGCCAACAACCTACAGTAAGCCCAATAGCCTGCTAGGCATACTTGGATTGTTTCACCAAATCCCAATCCACTGTGGTTTATTGCCAGGATGGGTTGCTGTGAACTGTGATTGTTGTGTATGAAGGTATCCCCATAGACAAACCAGAAATAATCAGCTATAAACCAGAAATAGAACCCATGGTTTGTTATTGGCTTATGAAACCTGGATATTTAAACCATAGCCTGTGATATCTCAGCGCTTAACCATGGCTTATTTGAGATGCTGTAAACTCTGGAACAGAGGAAATGAGCAAGAGACAAGAGAGAAACAAACCAGAAATAGGGAACACAAAACAATAACCTGTTTTGTCTTTGCTGGTATGCAAGAAAATTCATAGCTAAAGCAACAAACCATATGCTTGTATTATGTATGAATGCATCCATATCTGTTTGTGCCTGGTGGTCTCTAGTGCCTGGTATTCTATTGTTCTCAATTTTTCTAGCTTGAATATTATAGGAAGTCTATTTCTTACATTCATGGAACTGTTTTTTGCATAATAGATCCAGATAGCATTTAACTTCCCCAGATGTTTCTTCCCTATATGCTAACAGCAAATACTAAGATATAACAACAATGGAAGAAGACTAAAGTTAGTAGCAGCAACTACTAGAGTTTGATAGAGTCTAATATGCCTAACTCAGAATCCTTCTCAGGTTCTAAAACCACTGTCTATGCAAAAAGCAATTAAATGTTACAGCTCAAATAAATCAGCAAAATGAAGGAAATGTGTCTACTTCATCGTTCTGTTCCTAGGATTTGTGTTTCAGGTGGTGTGGCAGCATAGAAATAAATAAATAAACAAGACAGAGATGATAGCAACTTTATCAGAAAACTATAACGCCTCCATTAGTCCTGCCCACCACAGTTTTCTTCAAATGCCATTTGTTCCCAAAGGCCTTTTTTGCTGCCAGCTGGATCTGGAATCTGCTCTTCTGCCGCCAAATCAAATTCTTCTTTTTATTTTTCTAGATTATAGTCATGGCTTGCATGGAATTTGAAATGGGAAAGGTAAGTACTGTGTGAAAGGATGACATATAAGTTCCAGTTTTCATAGAAGAATCTGTGTTTGGGGTCAAGTGTTGTCTGTATTAACTAGTACTGACTCTCCCTTTTCAGTACACTGTTTATATACTCTTTATAATATAATTAATATCATTGCTTTCAATGGAAGGTAAACCCGATTATTTCTTGATCTGCATTCAGGAGCCTAGCATTTTCATGATCCTGTCTGAGAATCCTGCTCTCACTTTTTTCAGAACAAGGCATATGATTGAATACTGGGACACTCAAAGCATTTTAACCTCAAGCTCCAAGACCAATTCTTTAATGACAATCCCTCCTCCACAGACATTACTACTATTGGGCAGGGGGAAAAGGCATACAGACATCTGCATGATAGAAATGTCTGTTCTTTTTAAATCTTGTCATTGGGCTTTCTGTATGAATCAGTTGTTGTCCTAGGAAAAGATATGAGAGCAGACACAGCAGGAAGACAAATAACCACAAACTCCTTCTACTTTTTTCCTACAGAAAAAATGTGAAAGATACTGGGTAGAGGTGGATGAGACTCCAATCCAGCTGGGACCTTTCTCTATTTTCTGTGTGGGTATATCCCTCCCTTCCTGTTTAATTCATAGGCTTCTGCTTTCATAGAAAGAATTGCGATTTAAATGTCATCTGGTTTGTTTCCCCTTTAGGAGGCTGAAGAGAAGAGAAGTGACTATGTGATTCGCACTTTGAAAGTGAAACTGAATGACAGTGTACGTGTGGAACCATCTGGACAATGGGAATGCAGGGTGGGCTTGGGCTTTCCATGTACAATGGTGATCCATCATTGTGGAAAATTCCCCCCCTCCCTATCTCTCTCATTGACTCACATGTCTGTGTAGCCTCTTTTGTGGTTTCAGTACAGCACATTCCCCATATTCCTGAGTTTGCAGGTCGGTGGGTGGAAGGGATAAGGGCTAATAATTCTAAGCACTCACATAAATAGCCAAACACCTCCAAATACCACTCGAAAGGAAGACGTAATCCTTTCACAGAAGAGCTTAATATAATCCCAGGGCAGATCATATGATATCCTGATATCATGCCCCATGATATCCTGGTGGAGAAACTGAGGAGTTTTGGGATACACCAAAGCACTGTCCGGTGGATTAGGGCATGGTTGACTGACCAAAAGCAGACGGTAACCATTAGTGGGGAATCATCGGGATGGCGGCCAGTGACAAGCGGGGTCCCCCAGGGCTCTGTCCTGGGGCTGATCCTGTTTAATCTTTTCATAAATGACATGGAAGAAGGGGTGAACAGTTTGCTGATCAAATTCGCAGACGGCACTAAAATTGGAGCAGTGGTCACAACTGAGGAGCAGGTACTCCAGATCCAAAAGGATCTGGACAGACTATGGAAGTGAGCAGGAGACAACAGGATGGCGTTCAATGTGGATAAGTGCAAGGTCTTGCACTTGGGGCATAGGAATAGGTGTCATAAGTACAGGTTATGTGACAAGTGGCTGGAGAGCAGCACTTGTGAAAGGGACCTCGGGGTGCTGGTTGACTGCAGGCTAAACATGAGTCAGCAGTGTGATGCGGTGGTCAAGAGGGTGAACGCCACCCTTGGTTGCACAGCCAGAAGTGTGGCTTCTAGATCAAGAGAGGTATTACTAGCACTCTATACAACCCTGGTGCGCCCACAACTGGAATGTTGTGCTCAGTTTTGGGCCCCTCATTACAGAAAGTATACAGGCAGGTTAGTCGTGCAGCGTAGGGCCACAAGGTTGGTGGCCGGTTTGCAGGGGATGCCGTATGAGGCGAGACTGAAGGAACTGGGCCTCTTCAGCCTGGAGAAGAGGAGACTCAGAGGGGATATGTTGGTGACATACAGGTATGTGAGGGGATGTCACATGGAGATGGGTAGAGACCTGTTCTCCCCTGCAGAGGACGGCAGGACACACTCCAATGGAGCAAAGCTCAGGGAGCCAAGGTTCCGTTTGGATGCCAGGAAGCACTTCCTGACAGTCAGGGCCCCGAGGGTGTGGAATGGGCTTCCACGAGAGGTCGTTGAGGCCCCATC